TCATAATGATTATGCCCATGTGATATATAAATTCAATAGAGATTTTTATACAGAATATGCTGATATATGTGAAAATTCAACCAACCTAAGTAATCATGTAAATAATGTAGAATTAGTGACAAACACTGTGAAAAATCACAATATTTCATTTAAATGTTGAATTTTCTATATTATTATTTATACCTTCATATTCAGATTAAAATTCTCTACCAAATCGCTAAACCACATATCCATATTTATAACAGAAATATTTTCCAATAAAATCGGACATTATGACTAAACCCATTAAAATACAAACTAGATTCCCAATTGGCAACCAGGAATTTGTTTAATTTTTACTGAACATCCTACAAGAAATATAACTATATAATTTCTATTGCATAGTGGCCAGCTACAGTGGCCACTTTTATCTGGAAATATTTCCCTTATAAATATGGATATGTGATATACCAATTTCGTAGAAAATTTCACTCTTAATATGACGGTGTAAATAATAATATAGAAAACCCAAGGTTTAAATGAAATATTGTGATTTTTCACAGTTTTTGTCACAAATTCTACATTAATTGCATGATTACTCAGGTTTATAAAATTTTTGCATATACAATCGCATTCTCCGTTAAAATCTCTATTGAATTGATATATCACATGGGCATAATTCATTATGAAAATTTCCCCGATATAAGTGGTCACTGCAACCGAACCCGAGGTCACAGGTCAATATAAAATAGATATTCAGACTTCTCGTCCAGTTATATAAGAATTGTTAATAATATCAGTTATATTAAAAAAACGACTATACGACAAATATGTTGGTTAAGGGGTATGCATCCTCCTTTGTATTCATAGTCAGTGTACATTAGACAAACATGACAAATACTGTAATAAAAAATTAATTATTTATAAATCATTTATTATTTTTACTTATTATTATTATTTATAAATTATAATGTAACATCATACGAAAAATAATAACTATATACAGTAAAATACGTATATATTATTTAATAGTATTACTTATTGAGTGGTGTATTATACAATAGTTAAATGAAAAAATATTATACTGACACAATTTGTAGATCATTTACTAATTTACTTAAAATTTTACTTAATATTTTTAGTAAGTAAAATATAAATGATGCATTTTATAATTAAAAAAAATATTAAAATTTCAAATAAGTTACCCTAATTTGTTATACAAAAACTGATATATTGTGTCCCAATTCACGTCCACATTATCATCCCAACTGAATACCTATTTTAGACATAATACCCGTCCATTTGATGGTAAATATAGAGTGTAATTGTGACCTAAACCCAGACACCCCTTACTATAGTATTATCGCCCAAACCATATCATCGTTTGTCACAAATAATACATTTTATGATTTTATAGGTTTGCGATAATATACGGGATGTCCCTTTTAGACACCTGTCCATCATATGTAATGCACGGGAGTCAGAGATTTACGGAATAATCTCTAACTGTTAAATTAATGCCCTTTTAATAGTTGTTGAATAAACTCCCGGTGCGTTGTGTCTAACCCCAGCCATAGACACTGTTGAGTCGATTGAATACATGAGTAGACATACGATAGATATTACGACCGAAACCCAGACCACAGGCACCGCTATTACGGCGTAAACTGTACCGTAAATCATAGCTTACTATTAAATAACTTGAAATCATTGATTGTTTATTATTTTGTGAATTATTGCACCAAACATTAAACAAATTCATTTTGAAAAGTAGTATCACTATTAAATATTTATTTAATAATATTAGTGACTGTGAAGTATTATTTAATTAGTTTTAGTCTATACGTTGAAAATAGTGAATACGTGGCTTATAATGAAATAAAGTGTTTGACAAAAGGTTGTTTACTCGTTTATTTAGCTTTAAAAATCGTAGAATTGTGCTGGAACAAAATAAAATTTTTTGCAACTATTGTTTTTTGGCACCAATCTAACGGTATGCCCAATTTTATCCAGACATAGGGGGAACGGTAGATATGCCTGTCCATCAATAAC